CCTGACACCATCAAGTTACTAGAGAACATTGGAGAAACCCTTCAAGATATTGGCACAGGCAAAGAATTTCTGGAAAAGACCCGGGAGGCACAGGCAGTCAAAGCCAAAATCAACTATTGGGATTGCATCAAATTGAGAAGTTTCTGTACTGCAAAAGAAACAGTCAGGAGAGTGAAGAGACAACCGACAGAATGGGAAAAAATATTTGCAAACTATGCAACAGATAAAGGGTTAATAACCAGAATCTACAAAGAGATCAAGAAACTCCACAAAAACAAAACCAACAACCCACTTAAGAGATGGGCCAAGGACCTCAATAGACATTTTTCAAAAGAGGAAACCCAAATGGCCAACAGGCACATGAAAAAATGTTCAAGGTCATTAGCAATCAGGGAAATGCAAATCAAAACCACAATGAGGTTTCACCTCACCCCGGTTAGAATGGCTCACATGCAGAAATCTACCAACAACAGATGCTGGCGAGGATGTGGGGAAAAAGGGACACTAACCCACTGTTGGTGGGAATGCAAACTGGTCAAGCCACTATGGAAGTCAGTCTGGAGATTCCTCAGAAACCTGAAGATAACCCTACCGTTCGACCCAGCCATCCCACTCCTTGGAATTTACCCAAAGGAATTTAAATTGGCAAACAAAAAAGAGGTCTGCACCCTAATGTTTATTGCAGCTCAATTCACAATAGCTAAGACCTGGAACCAACCCAAATGCCCATCAACGGTAGACTGGATAAAGAAATTATGGGATAGGTACTCTTTAGAATACTATACCACAGTAAGAAACAACGAAATCCAGTCATTTGCAACAAAATGGAGGAATCTGGAACACATCATGCTGAGTGAAATAAGCCAGTCCCAAAGGGACAAATACCATATGTTCTCCCTGATCGGTGACGACTGACTGAACACCAAAAAGGAAACCTCCTGAAGTGAAATGGACACTATGGGAAACGGTGGCTTGATCAGCATAGCCCTGACTGTTAATGAACAACTTAATACATTATCCCTCTTAGTAGTTTTTTTATCTGTTCTACTTAATATGACTGGTTTAGTTCTGTAATTGATGCACAGTTATTCTTAAGTGTTGAAAATTAACTGAAATGTGATCCCTGTTGAACATGGGAGTGGGAATGGGAGAGGGAAGAGATGTATAATTTGGGACATGCTCAGGCTGACTTGCCCCAAGTAGTGGAGTTGGAAGCATACCAGGGGATTCCAATTCAATCCCATCGAGGTGGCATGTACCAATGCCATCTCACTGTTCCAGGTGATCAGTTTCAGTTCACAGTTGGTCATGGTGGAGGGACTGGGAGTCAAAGGGAGCACATAGACAAGTCTAGTACCTGCTAACGCTAACCAATGGAGTAAATAAAGGGGAGAGTGATCCAACATGGGAAGTGAGATACTCAGCAGACTCATAGAATGGCAGATGTCCTAAATAGCACTCTGGCCTCAGAATCAGCCCTAAAGGCATTCGGATCTGGCTGAAAAACTCATGAGAGTATTTCAGGCATGGAAAGCCAAGACACTCTGGCAAAAGATCTCTGCGAGTGAGATCCCAGTGGAAAGAACAGGTCATCAAAGAAGGAGGTACCTTTCTCTGAAGGGAGGAGAGAACCTCCACTTTGACTATGACCTTGTCTAAACAAGATAAGAGTCGGAGAAATCAGAGGGCTTCCATAGCCTTGGAAACTCATGACTGGAGCATAGGGAGATTACTGATGCCATAGACAGGAGTGTCAATTGGTAAAGTCAACAACAGGAGTCACTGTGCACTTACTCCTCATGTAGGATCTCTATCCTTATTGTGCTGTACATTGAGATTTAATGCTATAACGAGTACTCAAACAATATATTTCACTTTGTGTTTCTATGGGGGTACAAACTGTTGAAATCCTTACTTAATGCATACTAAACTGATCTTCTGTAAAAAAAAAAAAAAGAAATTATCAATTTCCAACTTGACTCTCACTGGGATTAAACATGACAATAGGTCTGCTCTTATTTCATCATCATTTAAAAAAAATCATCTATTATTTTTCACTTTATGTTTCTGTGTGGGAGCAAACTGTTGAAATCCATACTTGATGTATACTAAGCTGATCTTCTGTATATTAAGATAATCGAAAATGAATCTTGATGTGAATGGAAGGGGAGAGGGAGTGGGAAAGGGGAGGGTTGTGGGTGGGAAGGACGGTATGGGGGGGAAGCCATTGTAATGCATAAGTCGTACTTTGGAAATTTATATTCATTAAATAAAAGTTTAAAAAAAAAAAAACACAAAACCCGTCAGATTCAAGAGAATAAATCTTGATGTAATTCCCAAAGACTTTTTTTTAACGTTGGGGAAAAAATAGTTCTTTGGAAAACACTGTTGGAGTGCAACCAACTTAGATAGTACACTTGCACAGTCCATTATGTCACCATGCTGAATTTTTAATATGATTGGGTATGCGCGTGTGTACAGCTAGATGTACAGCACATAAAACATCGGAACCATTTTCAAGTATACAGTTCTGTGGCACTGTGCAACCATCACCATCACCCACACCATTCATCTCGAGGACACTGTCACCTTCCCCACCTTAAACTCCTCACCCATTAGACAGGAACTTCCCAATATCCCTCTTCGCAGGCCCTGGCGGCCACCATTCTACTTTCTGAATGACACGATGCTTTAATTATCTTTCTCAAGCATCTTCTCCTTCTGGCTAACACTCCTGTCAAGTCTATGCACTGACTGTTACTAATTCTGGCTCGCTCACTCTCAAAAGCACAGTTTTCTCCTTTTGGCCATACAAATTGAAAAAAGTGGGACACTGAGGAATAAAGACCCAAATGATGTGTTTTAGTGACCAAGAAAATAGAGGTAAGAAAGAAAAGTTTTTTTGTTTTGTTTTGTTTTGACAGGCAGAGTTAGACAGTGAGAGAGAGAGAGAGAGAGAGAGAAAGGTCTTCCTTCCATTGGTTCACCCCCAAAATGGCTGCTACGGCTGGCGCACTGCGCCGATCTGAAGGCAGGAGCCAGGAGCTTCCTCCTGGTCTCCCATGCAGGTGCAGGGCCCAAGCACCTGGGCCATCCTCCACTGCACTCCTGGGCCACAGCAGAAAGCTTGACTGGAAGAGGAGCAACTGGGACAGAATCTGGCACCCCAACCGGGCCTAGAACCTGGGGTGCCGGTGCCGCAGGCAGAGGATTAGCCAAGTGAGCTGTGGCGCCGGCCAGTTTTTTTTTTTTTTTTCTAAGATTTATTTACTTATTTATTTGAATGGCAATGTGTGTGTGTGTGACAGAGAGAGAGAGAGAGAGAGAGAGAAATCTTCCCTCAGTAGCTCACACCCCAAATGGCCACAAACACCAGGGCTGGGTGAGGCTCAAGCCAGGGGCCTGGCTCTCCATCTAGGTCTCCCTCACGATGGCGGGGACCCAAGTACTTGGGCAATCTTCCATTGCCTTCCCAGGAACATTAGCAGGGAGCTGGATTGGAAGCGAAGCAGCTGAGACTGCAATGTCCCTCTGATATGGGACGCTAGCATTGCAGGCAGTGGCTCAAACCCACGATGCCAGCCCAGAAAGAAGAATCTTGATCCTAGATTCTATTTGCTTCCCTGTTGGTTTTTATACAGGCTGTTAATACTTGGTTTTTACTTCATGTGCCTTTGTCTTGAATCTTTACATGTGAGCTCCCTAGGAAGCCTACAGGATTGGCAGGGCTCACCATCACTGAGAAAAAATCGCTCCCCTCACACACTTCACTCCACCCGCCCTCCCCTCCCCTCACACCTTCACTCCACCCGCCCTCCCCTCCCCTCACACACTTCACTCCACCCGCCCTCCCCTCCCCTCACACCTTCACTCCACCCGCCTTACCCTCCCCTCACACACTTCACTCCACCCCGCCCTCCCCTCCCCTCACAACACTTCACTCCACCGCCCTCCCCTCCCCTCACACACTGCACTCCACCCGCCCTCCCCTCCCCTCACACCCTTCACTCCAACCGCCCTCCCATCCCCTCACACACTTCACTCCACCCGCCCTCCCCTCCCCTCACACACTTCACTCCACCCGCCCTCCCGTCCCCTCAACACACTTCACTCCACCCGCCCTCCCGTCCCTCACACACTTCACTCCACCCGCCCTCCCGTCCCTCACACACTTCACTCCACCCGCCCTCCCCTCCCCTCCACACTTCACTCCACCCGCCCTCCCCTCCCATCACCACTTCACTCCACCGCCCTCCCCTCCCCTCCACACACTTCACTCCACCCGCCCTCCCCTCCCCTCACACACTTCACTCCACCCGCCCTCCCCTCCCCTCACACACTTCACTCCACCCGCCTCACCCTCCCAACTTACTCCACCTCCACCCGCCCTCCCCTCCCCTCACACACTTCACTCCACCCGCCTTACCCTCCCCTCACACACTTCACCTCACCCCGCCTTACCCCTCCCCTCACACACTTCACTCCACTCGCCTTACCCTCCCCTCACACACTTCACTCCACCCGCCTTACCCTCCCCTCACACACTTCACTCCACCCGCCTTACCCTCCCCTCACACTTCACTCCACCCGCCTTACCCTCCCCTCACACACGCTGCTTTCCTGTCTTGGCAGTGTCATCCATGCTTCGACAGTTCTAACCTCAACTACCACAGACTTCTGAGTCAGCAAAACAGGAGAACCATTTGCTATTTTAGGGAAAAACTTAAAATGTGTCAAGTCATTTTTAAAAAGTGAACTATGTCTAATTACCCATTCCAATGGCATGATTATTTATAAACAGGGAATTTAAAATAAAAGGACTTAACATTTTGAGAGTAGTTATGAGAATGAGACACCCTGCTAACTATTTTTATCTAAGGTCTCATAGATGTCCTATTTGTTGACTGTAATACAAAACTACAATGAAGTCACACACTCAGAATGGTTACTGAACAATTGCCAAGGGTTTTTCAGATGTGTGAACTCAAACAAGTACTTACCATGAACTTTGTTTCACCCTTTGACAGAGTGTCTGTAATAAAATGGACCTTTTGTAACTGCTCCACAACACGGTGTAACAGCTTTGGCTGCAGAATCATAACCAGGGAATAAGAAAAAGAGTAATTACTCTGCTACAGTAAGAAACATTTTTTCAATGTTTATTCATTTTTATTTATTTGAAAGGCAGCGCCACAGGGGGAGAGAAGTGGGGGTGAGGGCAAGAGGGACAAGGAGGGGGAGACAGAGAGAGCAAGAGAGAGGGAGGGAGAGAGAGAAGGAGAGAGATCAATCTCTCATCTGCTGGTTCTTTCCCCAAATGCCTACAACAGGTGGGGCTGGCCCAAGCTGAAGCCAGAAGCCAGGAACTCCATCTGGGTCTCCCACATGGGTGGTAGGTCCCAAGCTCCTGAGCCATCACCCGCTGCTTCCCAGAGTGCATTCCAGGAAGCCGGAATGGAAACCAGTCGGGACTCCAACCCAGGCATGTCAATATGAAAAGCAGGTAGCCCAAGTGTCATCTTAACCACTGTGCCAAAGCCCACTCCACATTCAGCACTTCTGAAATACCTATGACAGACAGTAAAGAATTCTGGAAATATTTTATTAAATTTTACCTCTTTCAAATGTTAGATTTTCTTCCCAAATCCTTAAGGGGAAAACGTGGGAATCTTTCCACAACTTAATTTGTTTTCACAGAATTCAATCAATAGAAAACACTTTAGCTGAATTTTCAGAAAGCATAAAACAAAACTTACACTGAAAATATCTAACTGTCATTTAGAAAGTGACATCTGCTGCTGTGTAAGAATTCTGAGGTACCTGCTTGGCTGATTCCGAGGTAAAGCTTGGATGGGTCAGCAGGACATCCATGTCACCACTGGATTCTGCCCCTGTGAAAACAAAGAACACGTATGGAATGCTCCATGTGAATGCATCAACTAGGCAAATAAAGGCCAAGGTGACAACAGAAGAGTCTTGTCTTACAGCCTGTCTATTTCACTGTTAAAGATTTCAATTTTCTGGGGCCAGCGCCGTGGCGTAGTGGGTAAGGCCGCTCCTTGCAGTGGCGCCAGTTATGGGCACCAGTTCAAGTCCCGGCTGCTCTACTTCTGATTCAGCTGTCTGCTATGGCCTGGGAAAGCAGTGGAAGATGGCCCAAGTCCTTAGGCCCCTGCACCTGCGTGGGAGACCTAGAGGAAGCTCCTGGCTCCTGGCTTTGGATCTGCACAGCTCCAGCCATTGCAGCCAATTAGGGAGTGAACCAGTGGATGGAAGGCCCCTCTCTCCCTCTTTTTCTCCCTCTCTCTCTCTGCCTCTCTTTCTCTCTTTGTATAACTCTTGGCTTTCAAAATAAATAAATAAATCCTAAAAAAATAAAAAAGATTTCCATTTTCAGTGGCCAGTGCTGTGGTGCTATGAGTTAAACCGTGGCCTGCAGCACCAGCATCCCATATGGGCGCTGGTTTGAGTTCCAGCTGCTCCACTTCTGATCCAGCTCCCTGCTAAAGTGCCTGGGAAAGCAGGAGAAGATGGCCCAGTGTTTGGGCCCCTGTCACCCATATGGGAGACCCAGATGAAGCTCCTGGCTCCTGGCTTTGGCCTCACCCAGCCCTAGCTGTTGTAGCCATCTGGGAAATAAACCAGCAGATAGAAGACCTCTCTCTCTGCAACTCTGACTTTCAAATAAATAACTAAATCCTTTTTTTTTTTTTTTAAGAAAAAAAAGTAGCTTTAAGGTACATCTATGAACAAACGATATATCATAATCTTCATTTAAACATGCTCTAATTCTGTCAAGGTTAATCAGAAAACTCACTTCAATCCTTATGATTTTACTCATTTAATGAATATTGGTAAAAATGACTATTACATTATCATAGATAAGAACATAAGAGTTTATAATGAGGGGTGGGCGCTGTGGCTCAGCGGGTTAACGTCCTGGCCTGAAGCGCCAGCATCCCATATGGGTGCTGGTTCGAGACCCGGCTGCTCCTCTTCCGATCTAGCTCTCTGCTATGGCCTGGAAAAGCAGTGGAAGATGGCCCAAGTTCTTGGGCCGCTGTACCTACATGGGAGACCCAGAAGACGCTCCTGGCTCCTGGCTTTGGATCTGCACAGCTCCAGCCGTTGCAGCAATTGGGGAGTGAACCATCTGATGGAAGACCTCTCTCTCGCTCTCTCTGCGTCTCTTTCTCTCTGTGTAACTTTGTAACTTTGACTTTCAAATAAATAAATAAATAAATCTTTTAAAAAAAGAGTTTATAATGACTTAGATAATCTACAACAACACAACTTCAAGCAAGTAGTATGCAGCTGTTTTAATCTTTCTTTTACTGTATACTGTGGAATTATATCCCCATTTGGATTTTTTTCACTTTGTCTTTATTTTTCAGCATCATAAATGAGGACTCTCCATTCCTCTAGATCTGTTCCCTGATTTGTAAACTGCAAAAGCTATTTCACAGGTTACTGTGCAGCTGAACGAGAACATATGTAAAAGTATTCAGAAAAGTGGTACACAGTTTGTCTAAATAAATAATTTCCCTTTTTTTTCCTCTTGTTAGGAATTACAGGTTCAAAACATACTTTTGGTGATTGAAGATCTTATAGTATTTTTGGATCACCATCCTATATATAAATAATCTTTTTTAACATATTTATTTATTGATTTAAAAGGCAGAAGTAGAAAGACAGAGGGTGAAACAAGAGACATCTTTCACCTGCTGGTTCACTCCCCAGATAGCTACAATGGCCAAGGCCAGGCCAGGTTGAAGCCAGGAGCTTCATCTAGGTCTCCCACTGGGGGTCAGGGGCCCAAGCACCTGGGCCATCTACCACTGCTTTCCCAGGTTCATTAACAGGGAGCTGGATCAGAAGTGGAGTATCCAGCTGCTGTACTGATAATCTTTAAGCAGATACAACAATCTCTTATTCGCACAGGATATGTTCCAAGACCCCCAGCTGATGCCTGAAACCATGCGCAGTACTGAACTCTATAATTTAATACTTTTTGCATCTTAACTAGGCCCTCACCATACACTATGGTCATAACTTTTGCAATCAGAGCTGTGGCAGTAAAACTAACACAAATTTCTCTTTGTTCACAATTCCATGGATAGATTTTTCTTACTACAGATCTTAGCAAGCCCACCATATGATCTTTTCTCTCTCTCCTTAAATTGAGAATTTTCACCTTTTCACTTAAAAGAAGCACTTGTTGGCTTCTCTTTGGCATATACAAATTGCCAGCATCACCACTGGACTTCAGGGCCATTATTAAGTAAAATAAGGTGACCAGAACACAAGCATTGTGATACTGCCACCAAGACAGTGGATCTGAGACCTGACGCCAACATAGCTACTAAGTGACTGACAGGCAGGGAGCACATACATTGTGGCTATGCTGGGTGCTCTGAGATTTCATCACACTAACAATGGTGCATAATTTAAAACTCATGAACTGTTTCTGGAACTTTCCATTCAATATTTTCAGACTACGGTTGACTGATGGTAACTGAAACAGCGGAAAGCAAAACCAAGGATGGCTGGGGGTGGGGGGGAGCTACTGTATTTAAATATAAAGAAGATGAGACTGCATGTGTGTTGATCTGAGAACATCCATGAAAGCTGCTTTAAAAAAAAAAGTTAGAAAAAAAAAGAAAGAAAATTCAATCGTCTTCTCTTTTTTTCCCCTACAGGTTACCTACCTATGACTGAAAGACTACCAGCACCTACCTATCACTGAAAATGTTTTACTCTATTTATAAAACAAAACAACTCCAAGCTCTGTTGTTGACAAGGGACTGGGGAAACACAGTATGGCACCCATACAGGCAAGTGCTATGCAATACAGGAAGAATCAAGATGCTCTCTCTATGCTGATACGGACTGGCCTCGCAGGTGTATTTTAAGTGAATAAAGCAGGGTATAGTATTATGTATATATTTTACTACCTTGTGAAGGAAAGGTGCCTGGGGAGGGGGGGAGAAAATCAAGAACATATACTCATATTTGGTTGTATTTTCATGCAGACATGTTGAGAGAGTACACAAGAAAGTGGTTATCAATAGGACTGTGGAGAGAGGAAATGAACAGGGTGAACAGAGCAGAAGTGAGCCTTCTTAGTGTCTTTTTTCTATTAAAGCATGTAACCACACAACATTCTCAAAATAGGAAAACTAAAAATAAGATGGAAAGACATAAACCCAGGAAAGTAGTCACAGTTGGTGGAACGTGAGCCTGGCTTGCCCTGCATCACAACCTACATTTTCAAAATACAGAATCCACGTTCCAGCCTAAGGAGATTCTTACTTAGTGGCCACGTGGCAGAGTTCGACAACTTCCTGCATGTTCTGACTGACACAGGCGTTCTGGAACTGCTGTGACCTGCAGCCCTCTCCTTTTGCAAATGTGGAAACTAGAATCAGGAGAGACAAAGGTACCTAAACCGTGTCTCATGGGCAGATCTGGCTGCAGGAGCTGGGTCTGCAACCCCAATCCACTCTTCCTTCTACTTGTCAGTAATTATGGGCGTCCTCCTCCTCCCAGCTCCACGTTCTAATCACAGCTGCCTGGAGTACTTCTGACAACCCATCACCTACTTTCTAGGCAAAATCCCATAAGAGGCCAGAGAGTCTGTGTAGGTACATACTTAAAACGTTTCCAAGTTTTCCATCCTAATTTTTATAAGTTAATATTTTAAAATGTAAGTAATCCTTCCCCAATGTTAAGCCAGCAAGAGACCCAGACTGTGTGATTCTCACATGGCTCGCATTCACACGCAGTGGGAGACCTTCTCAAGAACTTGGTTATTGGGAGAACTGGTTTTTGAACTGGTGCCCCTGAGATATTATTCTTAGACCTACCAAAGCTTGGAAAATAAAAAAGTAAACAAAACTATCCATCGCTTCATTGGCATTTAGCCAAAGACAACCATTCTTAGCATTTTATTATACCTAAAGCCATCTTACAAATTTTGTTAAAACTGTCATTAAAATACTATCCTAGGGGTGTATGTTTGTACAGCAGTTAAGCTGCTACTTGGGATGCCTGCATCCCATATTTAGGATGCCTGGGTTCAAGTCCCAGCTCTGCTCCCAGTTCTGGCTTCTTGCTAATGGGTACCCCCTAGAAGGCAGCAGGTAATGGCTCAAGTACTTGGGTCCCTGTCACCCATGTGAGAGACCCAGACTGAGTTTGGGGCTTCTGGCTTCAGCCTGGCCCATTCCCTACTGTTATGACATTTGGGAGTGAACCAGTAGATGGAAGGTCTATCTACTCTCTGCTTCTCAAATAAATAATATAAATAAAAACTTTAAAAAATCATCCTATAAGAAAACCAGGATGAATTTCTCTCAGTTATTAATATATATTCCCATCTATAAACAAAAAAATTTAGCTAATACTACAGGATCCTAAAAAATCTACGACGTAACAAAAATTACATCTTTCTAATCCAAGCTTTTCCCATACATGAGGCAATTCTGACATCAAGGCATGAAAACCCAAGATTAGGAAGTGTATTACCTCTCCTGAAACTGCCACAGACAGTAGCAATGTACTCAGAATCCACTTTTTTAACTTCATTTAGTACAATATCCTAATAGAAGAAAAATTTGGTCAGTATTCCAAAAATAGTTTTCCACCAAGTGACATTCTCAGTGCTCATCAAACAATACAATTCAGCACGCTCTTACTTGCATTTGTAGCATCTCTTCCCGAGGAATTCTTTTCTCAAAGTCCTCAAAATATCTATAAAGACAGAGTAAATAGCATTATAAAATTTAAATCTCCTTAAAAATTAAGTCGCCTACCGTAACAAATACCCTTATACAAGCATATCACTGTAATCCTCACAAAGCAAAACTGAAATTCATTGAGAAGACTGCAGCAAAATCGGGGGGAGAGCGTGGGAAGCCTTTTTTCCCTTAACTGGATAAAAATCCTTAAGTGTCATGCTTTGAAATATTCTATCCCATCTACAAATATCTGCAAATAAGCTTCGCAGTCACATGACAGGACAGAAATACATTTAATTCAGTATATGCTTTCAAAGCAGACTGCTCTCTACTGGTAAGTCAAGGGGTTACAGTTCACTGCTCTTAAATCCTGCCCAATTATCTGATTTTAAAACAATATGTTAAGTGAAAGGAGCCACTCACAAGACTACGTATTCTATGTGCTCACTCATGTAAGAAATGTCCAGAATAGGAAAATCTGTAAAGAGAAAAATTAATAGGCCTGGGGCAGGGCACCGACAAGACATGGGGAATGACTCCCAAAGAGTATGGGGTTCTTTCTGGGAAATCAAGAATTGAAGTGATTGTAGTAATGGTTGCACCACTCCACGTGTATAATAAAAGTGGGTGAGTTATACGAGATATGTGTTATACCTCCAAGAGGCTGTTAGGAAGACACGGTGTCAGTGCGAAGCAGTGCCTAAGCCCAAGACCAACAAAGATGATGCTCCTGCTCAAAACCAGTTCTCACCACAGCCAGCTTCTTCAAATCTCCATTCTCCACACAAATGCAAGGAAGCGGGACTCAAACGACCCTGGCCTCTTACTGGCTCCAAGTTTTAAAATGATAGTGCAAATTTAAAAATATTATAGTAAGGTGTCAACAGGCAAGTTCAGAAGGTTGTTAGAACTCAATCACCACCAGACTATACAATACAAGAGGAGACACACATGGTGCGTATGGACTGTAATTGTAGACATCAATACCTGCTCCAAAAATAACTATTAATGGTGACATAGAAACACGTCTTGTGGTCACTCTTACACTGTTATTTACATGTTTGGGGCTTTCATCTTTTTTTTTTTTTTTTTGCTAATTTGGCTTTCCATGTTCATGTAAATTCACATTGACACACTTCATGCTCTTCTCAGGTAGACTATAAACTCCTTAAGAGCTACCCTAAACTTCATTATATTCTTACCCCAGACCTAGTATGGTGCTTAGTACAATGCAGGCATGAAAGAAACATGCACTGTGATGCACTCAATTCTAGGTATTTTAAGAGCAAGTCCCCTGCTAAGGTCAAGAGAATGAGGGAAATCCTCAAAACAAGTAAACAAACTGGAAAGGAGTAACAAAATGTGTGAACATACTCTAAGGCAGTCTGTAACAAATCCAAGCAGTGAGCTAAAAAGTGGTTTTCTTCAGCTAAGTTCAAGGAGTTGTCACGGTATATAAAAGAATGTCTATAAAAATTTTACTTTCATAATCCAAGTATCAAAAAAATTCGCTATCTTACTTTAATCCAATTCGCTGGTGATGGTTCAATTTATCTTCATTTTTCCTGAGATCTGCAAAGATAAATAAAGTGGAGGTGTTAATTTAAACACTTTTTGGAAAAAAAGATACTAAATTCAATGACCTTTTTTAATAAAGAATTCCTGGGGGGAAAATACATTGAAATGACTTTGAAAACACAGTGAGAAAAAAAATTTCTGATATTAGGAACTAAAACTCTAATCAATGTAATAAATCCTAACAGTTGATTTAATGATCCTTTTTACTTATTGTTGAAATTTCCATTAGTTACAAGAGAGAACAGACAGATGCACCAGGACCTTACCTGTACTTCACTGGCTATCTTATAAGAACCAACATGGCTTAATTTACTGTTCATAGCAGCAACAGTAACCACAGCTTCTGAATGTCTTATGGCTAACTAGGGTCACTGATGCTGTTCATTTGTTCATTCACACCTTTACACAACTACCACTGAGTATCAGCTTGTGCAGACAACATAGTAAGAATTCCATTGAGAAGAAAAGTATTATCTACATTTTTTCATTTAAAAAAGCTGTCACAATATAGCATCTTGGGTCTAAGTGACTTAGTTTCACTGGGTGTTCTTTTTACTGGGCCTGAGTATAGTAATGAGCCTTGCTAAAGAAACAGCAATATAAGTATACTTCAAAAGTGATTCCCATAATTGCTTTTACATTCTAATATATGTTTCCTTTGGAGGTATAAAATGGAGAAAAGTAAGTATGACAAATGGAGTATATTTCCTATGGTTGTATGCACACAGAAAACACTGAAATATCTGAAAGTTGAGTAGAGATCAAGTTATATTACATGTCTACATATTGTGTAAAACAATACAAAAACCAGAACGGTGGCTCCTTGACAATACCAAGAGATGCAGTTGATTATATTTGAGAAACATATACATTCTTGCCACCCTTAGCCCATCCTTTCCCTCAGATATCAGAGACACTGAGTATGCCACAAACAGAAAAGTACAACCCTCTAGGAGGCACATGGACAGTTCATTTTCCAGCCATGGAACTCACAGGAATCCTTAATGCACTAATATCTCTAACTAATCATGCCTCCTAAAAAAATCAAGTACTGTTTTAAGTATTTACTGTGTGCACCAAGCATCCTGCTAAGTGCTTTGCAAATATTATGTTAAATCACTTGAGACAGAAATATCCATTTTGTAGCAGGAAGCTGAAGCACCATGCTCACTCATTCTGATAAGTGGGGGGAGGAGGGCTCAAGCCCAAGTCAAAAAAACCTCACCACTTAACCATTTGGGTTGCTTATGACAGTTGCACTAAATCCCAAATTCTAGATTCACTGCAGTGAATCCATACATATGGCATATATCTTTGAAAAAGATAAAGGACTCAATTATATTTAAAAGATTGCTATACTAGGCGTAAGGAAAATATTTCTTCAATAAGCATTGGAAATCTTATATAGAATCTTTCTTAAGTGTACATGACTTAGCCTTTAGTCTGATGTATAAGATTTAGTTTTCTAAAATTTTACTGAACACAAGAAAATCTAAATCTTTTAAAAATCTGCCAATGATTACTATTTCATTATCTTTAAACCAGGAAGCCTCTTCTTGAATTTTTCCAGAGTTACAAACCTAAATTATTTTTTAATTAATTTACCTATTTGAAAGGCAGAGTGACAGAAAGAGGGGAGAGAGGGAGATAGCGATCTTTCATTCACTGGTTCATTCCCTAAATGGCCACAACAGCCTGGGCTGGGCCAGGCTGAAGCCAAGAAGCCCTGAACTCTGTCCAAGTCTGCCATGTGGGTGGAGAAACCCAAGAACCTGGGCTATCACCCACTGCTTTGGTGCACTGGAAGGAAGCTGGGTCAGAAGTGGAGAAGCCAGGACCTAAACCGCTGCTGTCCAAAGCAGTGGCTTAATCTATTGTGTTACAAACACCCACCCCTCTAAAAATGTTTAAGGTGGTAATATAAATTATACCCTAAACCTACTCTCTACTGAAGTGTAACAAAGAACATATTATTATTTGTGTCCAGGGATTTTAAAGTTTGAGTGTGGCAGATCATTAACAGTTTTTCAGGGCCTCATTTACCCTGGAATTAGTGACCTAATGTTTTACTCACCTTCTAATGTTTTAATTCCTTCATCTACAAACTTCCTTGCAGCAGATGGACTACAACAAAAGAAAAGCACTGTCTTAATATAAGGTAAAACTCAGGATCCTTGATTCAAATAACCAACTGTATATTCCACTATCAAGCATAAACCGTGGGTACTAAGCTAAACACACAGGCTGAAAAATGTTGCATGATTCCTTGGTACTTTTCAATTTTATCCAAGGCAGGAATTTCTGAAACTCCAATTATTAAGAAAATAACTGCAAAGTAGGACATGAAACACCTAGCTGGCACAGACACACAGACCCTTGGAAACCACTCATTCATTCAACTAAGATTTACTAAGGCCTGTTATGTACCATATATACTTGTAGGTGCTGAAAACATAGCAGGAATAAGATAAGTAAGAGCAATGGTCTTTACACACTTACACTGTAGTGAGCAACAATACATACATATACACAAGAAAACTCGGGTAGATGAATTCAAACTAACATGAGAGGCTGGGTCTGCTTTAGACTGGGTGGTAAGGGAAAGCCTCTGAGATGATGGTTAAGCTGAGATTTTAATGACAAACAGCCAGCTATTTCAGGGATCAGAGGAAAGTGTCTTAGGCAAAGGATACAATTAGTCAAAGGCCCTAAGGCTGCCATGAGCATACCTTGTTCAAGAAAAGAGAAAAACTAGTTTGGCTAGAATGATGTAAGAGACAGTAACAAACAGAACTGAGTGTAGGCAGAGTTCACACTCATACTTTTGAAGTCATGGTGGCTACGTTTGGGTTTTATTCTGAGTATACTGGGAGGCTATTAGCAGGTACTGGGCAAGGTAGTGACAAACTTTGGTTTAGGCTTATAAAGCTCACTGTGATTGCTGTGTTCATATAAATCAATCAGGACATCAGAATCGACTGAAGATGTTCTTATAAAATAGGAGAGGCTGCAGAAACTTAGGAGAGCGGCCCAGTCTTCTCATTTTATAGGGAACATTGAAGGCTAGAAAGATGAAGTCACTTGCAAAGGTTACAAATCTCGTTGGTGGCAGCACTGGGACCAGTACTCAGACTGCCTGACTCTCTACTGCACAAATGTATCGTATAATAAAGTGGGAACAGGGAACAGAAATACATGCACATGTGTGCACACACACATACACACACGTGTGCATACACACAGGCACACACACATAGGCGTGCACACACATACACTATGCACGCACACACACAAAAACACAATAGTCTGGGGCCACACAGAGTGTTTTGGGATGAATAAAGCCATATAATCAACAGCAAGTCCAAACATCACACTACAGTGTGGTACAGAAGCCAATACTGATGTTAGGAAGGCACCACGGTAAAGAAGAACCAGCTGAATCTGCAGTCAGGCGACAGGAGTTCTAATCCTGTCACTATTAACCCCCTTTCTCTCTGCAACTTTCAGTTTTCTTTTTTTTTTCTAATTTTTTTTTTTTTTTTTTTTTTTGACAGGCAGAGTGGACAGTGAGAGAGAGAGACAGAGAGAAAGGTCTTCCTTTGCCATTGGTTCACCCTCCAATGGCCGCCGCGGCCGGCGTGCTGCGGCTGGCGCACCATGCTGATCCGATGGCAGGAGCCAGGTACTTCTCCTGGTCTCCCACGGGGTGCAGGGCCCAAGCACTTGGGCCATCCTCCACTGCACTCCCTGGCCACAGCAGAGAGCTAGCCTGGAAGAGGGGCAACGGGGACAGAATCCGGCAGCCCGACCGGACTAGAACCCGGTGTGCCGGTGCCGCAAGGCGGAGGATTAGCCTAGTGAGCCATGGCGCCGGCCAACTTTCAGTTTTATTGCCTGGAAAAAGAAGATAATTTGACAAATGTTTTCTAAAACACTTTTTCATGAAAACTTCATAATGGCCTTGTGTTCCCAAGGAATCAAGCTTATTTTCAGCATGCTAGGATTAAAAATTTAATATATTTTAGAATAACTTTTCTTGAAAATGCTGACAGCATTTCACGGGCAGCAGGGATGGGTATCATGGCCCAGTGGTTAAGTTGCTGCTTGGGTTGCCCACGTCCCATACTGGAGTGCTCAGGTTCGAGTCCTGCCTCCATTTCTGATCCAACTTCCTGTCAGTGTGCATTCTGGGAGGCAGTACTTAATGGCTCAAGTGCTTGGGTCCCTGCCACCCTCACTGAACACCCAAATGGAGTTTGGGGCTCCTAGCTTCAACCTGAGCCCAACCCTGGCTGATGAAGGCCTTTGGGGTATGAATCAATGAATGGAAGATCTTTCTCCTTCTCTCTGTAGTTCTGCCTTTCCAATAAATGAAACAAATAAATAGACCATAATCATGTATCTAAAGGAATGTCTTATACTGTAAAGATGAGAGATAAGTAAAGCATTAGAGCCTTAATTTTCCAATGTCAATGCTTACTTTGTCTAGAGTCAAAAATGACCCCTTTTGCACTAGCTCAAATTCTCTTAAAATTTTTTTGACTATTTATTTTTATTTATTTGAGACAGAGACTATGTGAGTGAGTGATCTCATCCACTGGTTTACTACTCCCCAAATGCCTGCAACAGCCAGGCCTAGGGTCAGGTAGAAGCCAGGTGCTCAGAATCCAATCCGCATCTCCCATGTGGGTGGAAGGGACCCATGTACCTGAGCCATAACCTGTTGCCTCATAGGGAGTACGTCAGCAGAAAGCTAAATTGGAAGTGGAGCCAGGATCTGAACCCCGGAACTCCACATGGGACATGGGTGCCACATTCACTAAACCAAACATCCACCCCTCAAATGTTAAGATGAAGATTCCTTCATTTAAAAAATGCTTGAGTGTTCCAAATTCATAAGGGACTATGGGAAAACGTAAATGCTTAAGATAAAATGCTCAGAGAAGCAAAAAGGCACAATCTGGAGCAGGCAACAAGATATACACAGGGCAAGTGCTGGGGTACGGAGGAAGGACAGATTATTTCTGGCCAGAAAATCAAACTGGGTTCATGAAGGTCAAGGTGACATCTGCCATGGATGGGGCTTAAAAAGTAGTTCTTACCCAATGCCACTAACTCGAGTCAGGAAATTAATAGATGAACTCGTATCATCCTGACGAATCTTTAAGAAAAGAAAAGCCCAACAATGATTGACAAATGCTTTGAGGACTCAAATGATCTTATAGGAAATACACCAATATGCTAAGAAATGTGACGAGACATTTACATTTGCCTGCACAGCACAATTATTTACATTTAACCAAGGCTGTTACAAGTGAATAATGGAGCAGCTGAAAATATCTTATCTCTAATTTATTCAATATTTTAAAAAATTTGGCTGACAGATATAATTATATTTGTTTATCATGTACAATGTAACGTTTAAGTATACACACACTGTGGAATAGTTAAGTCTAGCTAATTAGCAAATGCATTATCTCACAGTCATTTTTGTGGCAAAAACTGGACATCCACTGTCTGCATTTTTCAATTTTCCAATACTTTTAAAAGGGTGAAATAAAACCACAAAAATGCTTGGGAGAATTCACACACAGAAATTCTAAAATGTAACAATCTTTTAGTCAAAGTTTATAATCTCTTCTGAATGTTAGTAAACATGAGAAGGAAACTATCAGAGTTGCTAACAATCTCTCAAATGCCACATAAAACACAGGAACACTTTATAGGAACAACATTTACATTTTTAAAAACAGAATACTCATCTCTTCCTTCTGAGTCTCCCAAGTGTGTCTTCAATCACCCTGCAAGGTTGCTACATGAGAGTTGCCAAAAAGACAGACACTACAGCTAGAAACATACACAAGTAGGTTACAATGTTTACCTTTTCCAGTTTACGCAACTTTCCAGTCGCTAAAAACTCATCAATCTTTTCAGCAATTTTTGTTCCTACTCCAGGCTACAAGGAAATTAAAAATAGAGAAGTTATATAAATACAATGCTTGCTGAGTCATCGAAAGTGAGAAGTGAGAAGTTTTGAAATGAAGTGCACAGAAAAGTGACCCCCGAGGTGTTTGCCTCGTGGCTAACCCATGAGTTAGGATTTCTGCAACCCGTATCAGAGTACCTGTGTTTGTCCTTATTCCATCTTCCTGCTAATGTGCACTCCAGGAGGCAGCAGGTGATGGTTGAAGTAGTTGGGCTCCTGCCACCCATATAGGACACCTGGACTGAGTTTCTGGCTCCCAGCTTTGGCCTGGCCCAACCCTGGCTGCTGTGGGCATTTAGGGAGTGAAAAAACAGGTGGGGGTGTGCTCTGTGTGTGTGTATCTCAAACAAATTTTTTAAAAGACTATTAAAATCACTTGTCAGGGCAGCAGAGGATGGCCCAAGTCCTTGGGCCCTGCACCCATGAGAAGACCCAGAAGAAGCTCGAGGCTCCTGACTTTGGAATGGCTCATCTTTGGCTGTTGCGGCCATTCGGTGAGTGAACCAGCAGATGGAAGACCCCTCTCTTTCAAATAATAAAAACAATCTTTTTAAAAAAACCCTTGCCAATTTCCCTGCCCTGAAACTTAAAATCAACTGTAACCTCATGCCCTAACCATTAGCTGTTCCTGCTTATAAGTAGAATTAGAATTATGTTTATACACAATTTTTCTTAATACATAATGAGCACATTTCCATATCATCAAAGAAATAAAACTGTAGCATCTTTAATGGCTGCATAATATATCATTGTATGAATGCATAATAATTTACTTAGCAAGTACCCTTCAGGTAACAATTATTTGACGTCGTAACAAGGCTGCCAGGTTCCTTCAGAGTCAAGGTTCTCACGCTTTTGCGTTCCTCACTCCCACCCCCAACTTGTTAAAACACAGAATGCCAAGGCCCACCTTCGAGTTTCTGATTTGCTGTATTGGGTGGAGCCAACACGCTGCGTTTCTAAAGTTCCAAGGTAGTAACAGCTACTGCTGCCTGAGGCACCACATTTTGAGAACTAAGGCTCTAAAGCTGCACAGTCCAACATGTACATTAGCCACGTGGGACAACTTAAGTTTAAATGAATTACAACTTAAAACTTAATTCTTCATTTACACTGGCCACATTTCAAGATCTCAGCAGCCAAACAGGGTTTATGCTTGCTGTCCTGGAAGCATTGCTCTAGGACACAAGCCCCCAGACACAGCTTCTCCCTGACGCCTGGCATACTGGTGCTCAAAAATGACCAAGTAATGACTCCCTCACATACATATCTTTGGTTGCCTTAGGACAAATTCCCCAAAGTGAAACTGTTGGGTCAGAGAGATTTTGCCAGCATTCTGCCAAATCATCCTTGCTTCTGAAGTGAAGACAGTAAATGAGTGTCCTTTTATCTCACATCTATGTCCACATTGCATAGTATATTTGATAAATGGAGAGGCACTACAGAGTGTCTTGCTTTAATTTGCAACTTTAATTATTGAAGTTGAACTTTTTTTCACATTCATTGGTGCTTTTTAAACATTCAACAGATGTGCTAATTACTTCCTAATGCCTATCAGCCCTAAGTTATCCTCCTATATTTTTTATTTATTTAATGTTTAATAAATGTCCTCATATTACTAATGCATACTAAAATTCTGAAAATAAATGGATCTCTCTGTCTCTCTCTCTGTAACCTTGCCTTTCAAATAAATTTAAAAAATAATATTTAGGGAGCAAAACATATTAGAAAAGGGAAATGATTTCTTATTCCTGGTTTCTTATTACCTATAACAGAAGATAAAAAGTAACTATTTTTCCCTCTACAGAGAGTGTTAAGTTTTATTTAGAACTGAAATTTCTATATAAATTTCCCTGATACAGATACCTGAAATCTTTCTCTTATAAATGGGCAGACTATTGGTAAGAAGCAAAAAAGGAAGTTTATGGTGATAAAGGATGGAAAGAGTGGTGCATGAGGTTTACACTGGGTCCATTCACCAAGACAGGAACTGAGAGGATTCAGTCTGCTGTATTTACAATTTTCTTGGCTAGTTTATTTGGAGATGATAGACTAAGAATTGTCTGTGGCACAAAGAACTTAAAACCTATATCTCAAAACATTATTTGTATCTTTAATCACAAATTCAAGATTTAGAGGTGGCATATGATTATTGTGGGTAATTCATCACTCAATAATAAGATGTACAAGATTTATGGTAATGTAACTTTGAAGGATGAAAATATAACAACAGTGTGGTCCACACTTTTAAAGCTTTCATGAGAATTAAAGACAATCAAAGATTAATAGGAGAGTGTTTCAAAAAGCTCATGGAAAATGGAATTAAATTATAAGTTTATTTTGGCGAAAAAAATTTTTGAAATCCATACAAAGCTTTTTTTATTTTATTTTTATTTTTATTTTTATTTTTTATTTTTTTTTTTTTTTAAATTTTTGACAGGCAGAGTGGACAGTGAGAGAGAGAGACAGAGAGAAAGGTCTTCCTTTGCCGTTGGTTCACCCTCCAATGGCCGCCGCGGCCGGCGCACCACGCTGATCCGGTGGTAGGAGCCAGGAGCCAGGTGCTTTTCCTGGTCTCCCATGGGGTGCAGGGCCCAAGCACCTGGGCCATCCTCCACTGCACTCCCTGGCCACAGCAGAGAGCTGGCCTGGAAGAGGGGCAACCAGGACAGAATCTGGCGCCCCAACCAGGACTAGAACCCGGTGTGCCGGCGCCACTAGGCGGAGGATTAGCCTAGTGAGCTGCGGCGCCGGCCATACAAAGCTTTTTAAAGACTCCTTGCTACATATGGATTTCAAAATCTTTTGTACCAAAATAAATTTATCTTTTAATTCCATAATTTTTCCATTCCTGAGGACTTTGGTGAAACAAAAAACAGATCAAGAACAACAGAAGGAGGTGATAACTATTAGGACTTGGTCTATTCAACAGCTTTGTCAGTTTGGCATCTTGTTCAAGATGCCAACATCTTTAGGTTCGAGGAGCTATGAATCATTTAGTGAGATGCAGGTGAACAATACCCTGAGTGGTATTACTACCAATGACCATGAGATGTGACCTAGGAACTGAGACTACCAGCGTGCAGGGCTTCATGGAAATTCCTTACAGAGAACAGGCTGCACACCGCAATGTGGGAGGGGCTAGTCATGTGTTTATTAGTAGGGAGGGAACTAACACCAACTCATGTGTTTATTAGTAGGGAGGGAACTAACACCAACTCATGTAAGTCCCTACACCTGGACAACAGGGAGACAGCTAGGGGCCAGATTTAGCACCACTCCATTACCATACTCTTCCTAAGAACCAATACTCAGGCTTAAATCCAGAGTGTGAGGAAGTACATATAGAAAACTGTTAAGTGTGTATGTGTGTGTGTGTGTGTGTATATCTAAAAATTTGAATCTATCCTCCCCCAAATCCAGTTTGAGCTTAAAGAGTTTGCTTGAGACAACATATTATTCCAAGAAATCAGGAACAGTGATATCTGCTTGTGTGGGCCAAGGCAGCCTCAGAGGGGTGAGTTTTGTTTTGTGAAAAGCCATCAAAATTGTACATGAGTGAATTCTTCAATCCATTTGTCCACAAAACTTACCAATTTCTTAGCTTCCGCCCCACTCTTGATTTTGTGTGGATACTTGGCTATAACAGATGCTGCTTTTCTATAAGGAAGAAAATAGTAAACCAATTAGAAATTCAGCAAAGCAATATACAAAAAACTGCAATATACAAAAAAGCAAATATCCAGCTCATATTTCTCACCAAGATAGCTAATTTTTCAGTTCTATATAAATCTTAACACTTAGATGAGCTAATAGACCACCTACCACATTGCTAACTTTTTAAAGTATCTTCAAAATTCTCACATTTGAGGATAACTTTATTCAGGAGACCAGCATTCTTTCCTTTTTTGGGGGGAACAAGGAGAAAATACCATTGGAACCCTTTTCCCCCTAAATACCTGGTTTTTAGGAATTGTTTGGGGTGGCTCTGTGGCATAGCAGGTAAAGCCTGCAGTACCGGCATCCCATATGGGTGCCAGTTCAAGCCCCGGCTGCTCCACTTCCAATCCAGCTCTCTGCTATGGCTTGGGAAAGCAGTAGAAGGTGGCCCAAGTCCTTGGGCTCCTGCACCCGCATGGGAGACCTGGAAGAAGCTCCTAGCTCCTGGCTTCGGAATGGCACAGCTCCAATTGGGGAATGAACCAGTGGATGGAAGATCTCTCTTTCTCTCTCTCTCTGCCTCTCGAATAAATAAATCTTTAAAAAAAAAAAAAAAAGGAACTGCTCAACACTGTTTCATAAAAACATGTGTTTGAATTATTAAGATTCCAAATCTCCTCATGGATGATTACTTGAGAATTCATGGTTTTTTGTTTTTTTTTGTTGTTTTTTTTTTTTTTTTTTTTTTTTGACAGGCAGAGTGGACAGTGAGAGAGAGAGACAGAGAGAAAGGTCTTCCTTTTGCCGTTGGTTCACCCTCCAATGGCCGCCACGGCCAGCGCGCTGCGGCCGGCGCACCGCGCTGATCCGATGGCAGGAGCCAGGAGCCAGGTGCTTTTCCTGGTCTCCCATGGGGTGCAGGGCCCAAGCACCTGGGCCATCCTCCACTGCACTCCCTGGCCACAGCAGAGAGTTGGCTTGGAAGAGGGGCAACCGGGACAGAATCCAGCGCCCCGACCGGGACTAGAACCCGGTGTGCCGGCGCCGCTAGGCGGAGCATTAGCCTAGTGAGCCGCGGCGCCGGCCGAGAATTCATGGTTTTAAACTGTATTCACTGATGTCCTTATACCAGTTCTGTAAAAAAAAAAAAAAAAAAAAAATTTGCTCCCGTTTCAGTTCAGCATAAAAGCAGTGACCTGTTATTTTGCCCACCTCCACACATATCCAACTATCCAACTCAGCAATCTGGTGATGGAGTATACCTCAGGAGCTCACTGACGGCATCCTGTCCATAATTTCAACGGGAAATACGGTTTTGTGTCAATGTTGACAGAAAGGTAAGTCAAGAGCATAAATATTGGGACAGTCTTTGGAACTTTGCATTTTCATTCTGTTCTAGCACAGACCTTTAGGTTTGGAATTCAACTTCTTTATGAGCATATAACGATGACGACAGTGGAAAGGACATATTTAAAGGTTAAGGAGTCGTCGGCCAAGGGCAGTGTATGGAGGGGATTACTTCAGAAGAGGCAAGTAGTGCCAGGTACCTGGCATTGTGAGGAAAAGCCTGAAAGGGAGTAAGAACGAGAACATGAAAGGCCTTTTGTGTGCTATGACGTATTTGGATTGTATCAAGGACAAAAGAACATGTCTATATATTTGCAAAATGGGGCAGTGGGGCATCACCTGTTTTACAGAGTTACCTCCCACTCAGACCACACCCCATAAGCAAACTGAATTACTGATGTGATCAGCATATGCCTTGGCACACTTTGCTTCCTTTGCCTAAATTGTTCTTCCTCTCACTTGTCCCCTGATGAACTCCTTCAAGGCTAAACACCTCCACTCTGAAGACTGCTGTGACCCACCCAGAATACAGGGCTGAATACCTCTGATTTCTGTATCATCAAGTGTGTGGACGACAGCACAGTTACATCACATCGGACGTCACAGGAAGTAGTAAGGAAAGCAATGAGCATGATCAGTTTTGAATTATGATAGGAATAGGAAGGGGAGAGCTGAGATAAAAGGACTATGGGACTAAAATCCTGGAGAAAAGCCCAATGAGACACATACGTGGAGTCACTGATGTAAGTTGTATTCAAAGCCAACAACAGAAGGATTGCCAGGGAAAGCGTGAGAGTGAAGAAAGAGGGCTCAGGGGCAGATCTCTGGGAACTATCAGCAATCAAGGCTGAGAGAGAAGAGATGAAGAGACTGTCCTCCTGGAAGCCACGGAAAAGACTTTCATGAACGAGCCAGCGGGGAATGCCGCTGAGAGCCCAACAAGGTGTTGGTGAGAGCATGTCCAGAGAACGGCAGGATGGCGACTACACTCTAACGGGATACGAAATGATTAAGGACTGTGAAGTCCAGAGACCGAATACTGATTATTCAACAAGACTGACGTTAACGCAAGCAAAGAGATAAGGCACTAGCTAGAAGGAAGTTAAGATTGTTTCAGTATTGCTTTTAAGAGCTGAGGGAAGGGCCGGAGCTGTGGCACAGCGGGTTAAAGCCCCGGCCTGCAGTGCCAGCATCCCATATGGGCGCCAAGCTCTAGTCCCGGCTGCTCCTCTTCCGATCCAGCTCTCTGCTATGGCCTGGGAAAGCAGTGGAAGATGGCCCAAGTCCTTGGGCCCCTGCACCCATGTGGGAGACCCGGAAGAAGCTCCTGACTTCTGGCATTGGATCAACACAGCTCCGGCCGTTGTGGCCATCTGGGGAGTGAACCAGTGGATGGAAGACCTCTCTCTCTGTCTCTGCCTCTCTCTGTAACTCTGTCTTTCAAAAAAATAAATCTTAAAAGAAAAAATAAAAGGAGCTGAGGGATGGGATGGGTATTGTGTCACAGCAGGATAAACATATGCTTGGGATGCCCACATCCTGTACTGGATCACTGGTTAGAGTCCCGGCTGCTCCATTTCTGATCCAGCTTCCTGTTAATACACCCAGGAAGCAGTAGATGACAGCCAAAGTATTTGAGTCCCCACGACCCACACTGGAGACCAAGATGGAGTTTCTGGCTCCTGGCTTCAGCCTGGCCCTGACCTGTCATTTGTGTACCAGCAGATGCTAGACCTCTTTCTCTCTGTGGTAGGCTGCCTTCCAAATAAATAGAACTTAAAAAGGCAGAGAGCGGAGGGAGTTGGACATGTTTACAGGCTAAGGAGTGGAAGCAGGTGGATGAGGTGACAATGGCTGGGTCCATGTCGAGAGGGACGGGGAGAGAAGCCATGAAGGTAACAGGATCAGTCACGGACCAACCCGATGGAAAGATGTGCCTCTTTGAGCACATCCATTTCACAGCGGAGACCTGTCTCTCGTTACGGCTTACAAACACATCGCATTTCCAGTAATTCCCGTCTGATGACGGGACCAACAACAGGCTCCACTGGTTTTCACTCAGAACTGGGAACTTATCCGAAGGGAGCCCACGGAGCTCTGCCCAAATTCTTCCAGAAGTATTGTGTAAGGAACCACCCTCGCCTTGCCCGCCCCCGCCCCGCCAGCCCCTCGGCCCAGCGTACCGCCGCACTAAACAGGGGCGTCCCCGAGCGCATGCCGTCCCACCTGTAAGCATTGTACTTGTGGACAGCCTGGTTCACGTTCTTCTCAAAGTTAGCGAGTTCTGCAAAGGCAACAAGCAGCCCCGGTGAACGCGAGCGCCGAGCAATCGAGACCCGCGGGGGCTGCGCAGCCTCGACGGACGGCGAGCACCTGCAGCAGCCCCGCGCCTGACGACGCGCTGCAGGGGCCGCCCCCACCGCCCCCACCAGGCTGCCGGGCAGGAGCCGAGGGAGGGAAGGCACCGGGGCGGCAGGAGAGGAGGAAGCCGGCGGGCCCGGCCCGGTACGAACCCGTGAGCATGTCGGTGATTCCGCCGTTCAGGGTCTCCTGCGGCGCCTTCCGTTTGCTCATGGTGACCTGCACCCAAGGGCTCCAGGGTGCGCACAACCGGGGACCGGGCCCCTCTCCCCGCTGGAAGGACAGCCCGCGTCTCGCAAGGTGGACAGGAGGGACCCGGCCCCAGCGAGGCCGGCGCCAGCCGCCGAACAATGGCTGCCTCTGACAGGAGGCGCGGCGCGCGGCGCGCGTGTGACGTCACGGCGGGCGGGGCCTCTCCGCCGCGGCTGAGGAGACGCTGAGGAGAGCTGGGGGCGCCCGGGGAGGCCGTGGGAAGACGGGCGCCTCAGAGCCCCATCCCGACGGCGTGCTTTCAGGAAGGCCAGCGGAGTTTTGGTTTTGCTTTTAAAGACGTATTTGTTTCTCCGAGAGGCAGAGTTACAGAGAGTGCAGAGAGAGCTTCCATCGCGGGTTCATCTCCCCAAATGGCCGTAAGGACCAGGCCGAAGCCAGGAGCCAGGAGCTTCATGTGGGGCCCCCACGTGGGTGCAGGGGCCCAGGGAGTTGGGTTATCCCAGCAGGCGCAGTAGCAGGCAGCTGGATCGGAAGTGCAACAGTCGGGACTCGAACCCTCGGCCACATGGGATGCTGGCAGCGCAAACAGCAGCTTTACCCGCTATGCGACAGTTCTGGCCTCTGTTCCGAACATTTCTTTGGAATTCTTTCCATCGAAGGGGAAAAGCAGAACTTTGGGTCTGACGTATATAAAACAGTGGCGGAAGATGGAGGACCAAGGACTCCCTACTCACGTATAGGAGGGGACTGGGGGCGTCAAAACCTTCATGGAGAAATGGAATGAAAAGATAGTGCCAGTTTTTGACGAACTTTTTGAAGCATCTGCCCATGTGCGCGACAGCAGTCACCAAATAGGCCACGTGGTGTGTATGTGAGGCAACTTAATGCCAGCGCTGTCTGTGGCAACAGTGTGTTCAGCACTGCAAGGCAGCCTTGTGCGGCACAGGGGCCTGGAAAGAAAGCGCGCCACTCTAGGAAGCTTTCCTTGCAAACATCAGGATATTTTATTTCTAATTCCCCTCTCTCTGTGGGAACAAAGTGATGGCAAGACCCTAAGAAAGGGAGGCAAGCCTTGATATAACCATGATGATCCACATCTGGGAAATACACAGTCCGCTTAAGAAATGGGAGTATGACATCAATATTTTATTTCACACACATCATGCCAGGCGATCGCTTTGCACAAAAATAAGATTAAAATCTTCACCCGAAATCACTCCTAGTTGCTGTCAAAAAATCTGAAAAAATGTGGAAAAGGAGAAAAAATATTAAAATCAGTGATACCTCGTTGACATGGGGCGGCTGGGTCCAGAATTCGGGGACAAGAGGTAGGTAATGGTCAGCAGAGAAACAAGATTTATTTGCAAGCAAAGTGAAAGTTCACACCCAGCAGGTGCGGGTGTACTCCAGCCAGAGCCGGACCGGAGGAGGTTCAGTCCAGCGGCACAGGAAGTGGTGCCTAGAGAGGTGTCTAATCATGTGGTCATAAGGGGCAGAGTTGGGTGTGGAGCTCTGTACTGCCCATTTCCTTGCACTTTTTTGAAAATCTTGGGAGTGCCATGGTGTCCGATGCATGACGGCAGTAGGAGTGTCAGCCGTGATAATTTCATTATAATCCCAGTATAAGGAACTAAAGATCATTGCAGGGACACACCGGGCAGCCATCTTGGACGTTTTCGGTTGGTGCCAGCTCTGGTAGTTTTGCAGAAGCTGTGGTTTTCTACTGCACAGGAAAGGGGATGTATGGGGGTGCCAGGAAGGGCTCCTTCTTGCTAGCTAACTCCTTCCCTACATCATCACCATCCAGCGTAAAACCACGATTAATATTTTGGGTCATACCTATCTACACTTCAAATCTAGTCCTTTAAAAATTCATTTTCAATAATGGGATAATGTTTTAGATAGTTTCTCTAATTAGCAAGGTTGTGGTTGATTGTGTTTTCTTTTTATTTTCATTTGAAAGAGTTACACAGAGAGAGGAGAGGCAGAGAGAGAGAGAGAGGTCTTCGATGGTTCACCCCCCAACTGGCCACAATAGCCAGAACTGTGCCGATCTGAAGCCAGGAGCCAGGAGCTTCTTCTGGGTCTCCCATGCAGGTGCAGGGGCCCAAGGACTGGCACCATCTACTGCTTTCCCAGGCCATAGCAGAGAGCTGGATTGGAAGAGGAGCAGCCGGGACTCGAACCAGCACCCATATGGGATGCCAGCGCTTCACGCCAGGGTTTTAATCCACTGTGCCATAGCGCCGGCCCCCGATGGTGTTTTCTTTTGCAATATCAGTGCACATCTTAAGTGGTGCTTAATGAACATTTGTATTTCTCTTTAAATTTCCCATTTGTATCCTTTGCTCATTTTTCTAATGGGAGTAGTTTTCTTCTCTTTGTTAGATTTTTAAATATGAATGCTCACTCTTTTTGTATTTTTTCTTCCTTGTCTTTTAACTTTATTCCTGTAGCTTAATTTCCACCTTTTTAAAATAAATAATTTGGGGGGCCGGTGCCGTGGCTCACTTGGTTAACCCTCCGCCTGTGGCACCAGCATCCCATATGGGCGCTGGGTTCTAGTCCCAGTTGCTCCTCTTCCAGCCCAGCTCTCTGCTGTGGCCCGGGAGGGCAGTGGAGGGATGGCCCAGGTGTTTTGGCCCCTTTACCCCCACAGGAGACCAGGAAGAAGCACCTGGCTCCTGGCTTCAGTTCTGCACAGCGCTGGCCGTAGCAGCCATTTGGGGAGTGAACCAATGGAAGGAAGACCTTTCTCTCTGTCTCTCTCTCTCATTATCTATAATTCTGTCAAATAAATAAATAAAAATAAATGATTTGCCCTAGTCTTTTTCCTCCATTCATATTTTTCCTATCCAATCTCTAGATATGCTATATTCATATTATTTTGTTCTGAAGAGAGGTTATCTAACTAACATATTTTAGGCACTTCTGAATTTTCAGAAGTACTGATGTAGGGAGCTGCGGATGTATTTATTTGTTTGAAAGGCAGAGTGGCAGAGAGAGAGGGCTACCCACTGCTTCCAAGATGCATTAGCAGGAAGCTGAATCAGATGCACAGAGGAGCTGTTATCAAACCAGGGCTCCAGCGTGGGATCCCAAGCAATGAGTTAACCTACTGCAACACAGTGCCCTCCCTGGGGCTTTGTTTTATATCAATATTATGACAATTTTTTTTCAAAATCAGTGCCAGGAGCCCAAAGAAAACCATCAATTCTCTCTCTCTCTCTTTTTTTTTTTTTCTTGAAACAACCTTCATTTCATCCACTTAATCACTCTCAAAATAATTTGTTTTCAGTCGGCTTGTATAGTATCAGCCTCTGCGTTTTCCCTCTTTACATTCTGCAGGGCTGTGTGTGTGTGTGTCTGTGTGTGCGTGTGTGTGCTGGACACTCCAACCCTTCTGGGAAATTGCCTCAGGCTTTGATCTCTAACCAGCTTTTCTGCCTTTTCCAGTTTTCCCTTTCAAAATGCAATGCCATGTCTAGCTTGAAGTTGTCTACATTTGTATTTGTAGCCCTGATCTCTCTTAAACTCCTATCTCATACATCAGACCACTATAGGGTAGCCCTAGTTGTCTGTAGTAGGCATCTTGAAGATAAATGTACAAAAGAATTCTTGATTCTTTTTTAAGAAATTTTGAGATAACATATTTTGAGTTTACATTACAAAGACTTACTGCTCCACTAAATAGAAATTTCCACGAATAAAAAGTTAAAAGACCATAGTTCATCAGGAATATAGGCAAGGGCTATCAACAATAATCTGATAAAAACATGTCAATTTTACTCAAATACAGTAAATTTTAAGTTGATTCTTGCCTCTTTTCCCCATCTGTTAGTGGAATTCATACTAATTCCACTTTTCTATATACTTAATTTTTTCCATTTATTTATTTGAGAGGCACAGAGACAGAGTTCCCATTTGTGGGTTTATTTCCCTATGGCCCATAGGAGCAGGGGTAGGGGCAGGGGCTGGGGCTGGGGCTGGGGCTGGGCTGAGTTGAGGCCAGGAGCCAAAACTCAGTTCGAGTCTCCTATGTGGGCGGCAAGGACCTAATTATTTGAGCCATCACTGCTGCATCCGGGGTCTGCATCAGCCAGAAGTTGCGCTCAGGAGCTGGATCTGGGTATCAAACCCAGGCACTCCAATATGGGACTCCTTACTGCTAGGCAGATGCCTGCACCTGCTTCTCACAGCCCCACACCAATTCCATTATTATGTTTGACTTTCTCTGTAGCACTTAAAACCATTTGAAGCTTTCACATGTGTTACTTGTCTGTTATCCACTGCTTACTTGCCCCTTCTCCCACCAGTACGGAATGGTAAGTTCCATGAGAGCAGGAGTTCATTTTTGTTTACTATGTAAATAAGTAGTATTGAATGAATATCTTCAACTACAGTTTAGTGTCAACATTTCAAATTACAGAGACTATTAACACATGACAATGTAAGCTGACTGATCATCCTGGTGTGGCAAGGACTGAGAGCTTTCTTAGGATACAGACCTTTTAGTGCTAAAACTGAAAAAGTCAGGATGTATTAGTCACCCTAAGATGTGCTGTCACTTTAACAGATCATGGGGTGCTAACAAAACCTAATATAAGAACTAAAGCACTGGGTAGGTGTTGGCACAGCTGGTTAAGCTGCTGCTCAGGATGCCCCAGGACCTGGCTACTCTGCTTCTGATCCAGCTCCCTGCTAATGTACCTGGGAAGGGAGCAGATGACGGCTCAAGCACTTGAGCTCCCACCATACATAATGGTGGAATTCCTGGTTCTTGGCTTTGGCTTGGCCCAACCCCAGCTGTTGCAAACATTTGGGGAGTGAATCAGCAGATGGAAGGTCCCTGCCCTCTGCTGCTGCCACCTTTCAAATAAATAAATAAACCTTTAAAAGAAAAAAAAATGAAATAGGGCCACTTTGTGGTACAGCCAGTTAAGCCACTGCTTGCAATCCTGGCATCCCATATCAGAGTGCTGGTTGGAGTCTTGGCTACTTTGCTTTCCACCGAGCTCCCTGCAAATACACCTGGGAAAGCAACAGAAGATAGTCCAAGTACTTGGGTCCCTAATACCCACATGGGAGATGGATGGAGTTCCTGGCTTCTGGCTTCAGCTAGCCTGACCCAGCCCTGGCTCTC